TAATGATCGTCAATCGTGTAGCTCAGTGGTTGGGGTTTGAAGTCCCTACCCGAATGTTCACGGTTCGAGTCCTGACACGGGGATGCAATAAGTAAGCACTGTTGACGAGTCTCAAACAGGACGAAACAGCCGCTCTTTGTCACTAATCAGGAATGCATTCAACTAGTGGGAGTTTACCGATTTCCAAACACGTGAAACCCACATCCAGGACCCTGGGGAGTGCCTGGTAAATGTGAACAACCAAATAAGCTAATCCAAACCCTGAAATCAAGGACCAGATTACTTGGTATTTGATCGTGATGCACACGTGTGAAGCCACAGAGTATGTATGACTCCTTGTTGTCCAGCAAATTAAAGAAATACAATCTTGTGATGCAAACTTGTGTCGAAATTAACTCGTTTAAATTAAAGCCAGTTGTCTGAATTCCATCCCAAGTAGAATTATCGAAGTCACATTACGATCTGCGCAGAGGCGACCACCAACCACTCAGCTCGATAACTAGCATCTGTTTCCTTACAATCTCATGGTTAAAAGATCACATAAATGATAAGAAATCATCGTAATCATTTCCGGAAATTTTGCTCATAATGGAAATATTTGGGTGTCATTTCTTTATGGACATATTTCCCCCTTTCTCTATCAAGTTAGTGTGTTTACTGTAGCCGGTTAGCCAGTGAAATCTCCGTAAAACAAGCTTGTTTCTTATCCTCTGTTTTCAAGGAGGAATCGATACCCAGTGTACTATTTTGCCTTCCAGTGGTTAGCAGTAGGTCATATTGTTTGCTCTCATGACAGTCTCTTGCCTACCGCACACAATACCATACATATTTCGTTATGCTTCGTATTTTCAAAGAGAAATCAGATTTGTTCACAGTCGATCAGTGATCACCAGTTCCGGATACAATCTCGAGTCCAGAATGTCGATTTGGGAACCAAGGGACACTATACGACCAATTTTTGTAAAAATATGCTGATAAAAACCGTTTACACTGTAACCATAATGTTCTATACTCTTTATGCTTTAAAAGTTATTTTTGAGGTAATCTTTCAGAATTAAACACACTGGGGTCATGAACTCTGAAATATTCACAGATAAAGATAGAAAGATATGACACTGATGCAAACATACACAGGTACACTGAACGATCTGTACAGAGCAACTTCATTCAATCTTTAATACATTTACCATGGAGCTAGAATATATTTTAAACCACATGTTTGAGCCTTGTTTTTCATGAATCCCTGAGCACTTCCAATGCCTTGGTTTTTTAAGGGACCTGATTTCAACCTCGGATAAAGCAGATATTCTGTTCAAACTTAATTGTTCAAGAAAACGAATCAAGTTTGAAATCAGCATAAACCAATGTGGATGATCTGGATAAGTGTGTATTTTACAGGTGTAATAAATTGGTCGTCTATTTTTACGGGAAAATATATTGATTAAAAATGGGTAGAATACTCTTTCAAAATCATCGAATGATAACATCTAGTATTGTGGGGTACTACTCACATTTGTGAGTAGTATGGTTGGAGTTTGTAAAAGGATGCGATAGGTGGTTTCTCACAGCAGTCAAAAATGGATAGGACCTCTTGGCGTGAGATACTGTTTTCAAAACTGTAACTACAGAACATCCGGCAGCGATCCGGAGAGAGAGAGAGAGAGAGAGTGAGGGTTTCGTTGGAATAGATGATTGTGATAGAAAATAACCGGGTAGAGAGGGATAACTTTCACCTATGTAGGATCCATTTTCTTGTTCGTGGAGGGTTCATTGGCGAACTGGCCATTTGGGGGGTTGTCTCTAACCATAATAAATCTGTAGAATCAGCTGTTGAACAGCCGCACAGACTTTGAATCATATCATGTTTATGACGTGCGACAGAACAGTTCTTGTTTGAAATCCGCCGTTTACCGGGATAAGGGTGCTTTCAGTCCAAGTTTTATCGAAACAGTTGTGGATAAAATCTCGAGGCGGTCAACATATCGAGTTTATTTGAATTTGGGAGGGGGTGTCTGATACATGTCTATGTCACAGAAAAATTAAAAGTACACAAAACCATGTGGGTAAATTTCGCCACAAAACGAATGTGCATTTAGCAGGCAGTTTCTTCTTCAGTGTCTGGTCAATCTGATGAGATTAAATAGAATTTTGACTATTCAGTGCGGTAAGTTGTCCGGATA